CGGGGGCGGCGGCAGCTCTGGCGGGGGCAGCGGGACAGCCGGGGGGCACAGCGGCCTCTCCTCCAACTTCAATGAATGGTACGTGTGAGGGGCCAGGGCCTCGCTCCCTCTTCCAGTCCCCACCCTGGCGCAGCCGCCCTCCCGCGCTGACGGCACCCTGTGATTGTGTTGTTAAAATTATTAATCCGATTTTTATGATGATGAAAATGATTTTACCAGCAGAAGGGTTTTTTAAAAGTTTTTTTTTAATTATTATTATTTTCTAATCTCGGCATGAAAAACAAAAATATCCCTTCCGGCGTCTTTGAAGCTTAAAACATAAAGTAAGACGTAAAACATAAAAATAAATAAAAAATAAAAACCCATAAAAATATTGAACCAACCCCCACTTGCTTTTACCCATGCCCGCTTTCCTTCCCACCTCATTCCCAGTCTTCTGATAAACTGTACATAGCGGACTGCTTCCTTCTCGGAGTTGGTTTTAATGGCTACTTGGTGTATAGAAGTTTGTCCATTTGTAACTCGGGATTGCGTTCCTCCCTGCCTTCCCGTCCCTTCTCCAAGTGATGGGGCTTTTTCTTTTCTCATTTTAGTTTACCCAGTTTCTTTTTAAGTAATGTGGAAGAAAATGGTTTATTTTGTATTGTGGTATTTGAATATTGTGTTCCTTTCTATGAGGCAACTTGATTGTAAACTTCATGCAAGTACAGACTGGAAAAAAAACGAGCCGTGCCAAAGCCTCCCTTCTGTTTCTTCAACACACTGATCCACAGCACACACATACACTCCACCACCACCAACGCTTGTGAATGTATTTTTCTGTTAGCTGGGTTTACATGTGATGTTTTAGTGCTTTTGCAAGTTCAATTTGTTAGTTCCTGTATGAAAGATTGTGGGGGGAGGGGGGAAATAAACGTCGTGCCATTAGCTTTTTCCGTAATAACACCCTTCCTTCTGTAAATACCCGTTACCATATTTATCCATTTGTAATTAAATTATGGTATTAACTTGCTACAGAGGAAACAATATTTATAAAGAATGTTTCTTAACTATAAATATGTACAATTGTGGGCATAAACTGTTTCAGATTTTTTATTTGAAGGTTTTAAGTGGTTTGATCATTTCTTGTGATATGTTTTGAAAGTAATGCATACAGAAATATAATAAAATGTGTTGAAACTGCATGAACATACTATTTTTTTTCTAGCAAAGTTATTAAAGGAAATGGGAAGGAGATAGCTGAGGGTCAACATGGTTATGGCTCAGCTGCCTGAATGAATGGGAGGCACCACCTCAAATTCCGGGGAGGAAGGTGTATCTATGCATGGAAACCAGGCCAAACTGCCCCCTTGGCAGAAAGTCTCAAAATTCTTTTCTGTCCTTTGTTTTGTAGCTGAGAGTGAATTAAATTTTTGGAAAGCCTCTGTGAGGAATGGCGGCAGGAACCTTCAGAGTTTCTAATGGCTCCATTATCTGAGGGAATGCCTTTCTTGCAGCTATTTGGACTGGATTTAAGAGCACTAAATATTTCCTTATTCTTTGTTTTCCTTCATCCCTGCCCCCTTTCCTTTCCTTTCCTCTGAAAAGCTGAGGTACAGTTATTTTTAATTGCATGTTTAAAACCGAGCTGAGTACTTTGTTTTTGAACTTGGCCCAATGATTACAGTTTAAGGGACCATTTCCACCAAAAGTTTTTTTCTGGAAAATTTTAACAGCGATTACTCAAGAAACCCTGCTTATCTGCACAGCTGCTGCACACCAATAAGCAGAATGTTCATGTTCAAGGGAAGGTGGGAAAGCAAGAAACTATTGGCCCAAAATGAAAGAGAATCTCTTCAAAGATTCAGGGAAATCGAATAAAATAAAAAGACTAAAATAGCCAGGTGGAAGTGAGACAGAGCGCGCACCATCAGCTTTCTCTTAAGGTTTGCAGCCCCCTGCAAGAGTATCAGAGAACTTTCAAACAAGATACCCTAAGGAAGAAGGGAAAATAATTTTAATAAGGTAGGAGTGGGGAAAATTCTTTTTAATTCCTTGAGCTATGAAGATATCTCCATCTTCCTGAGTATCCTTGTAGCTCACCAGAGGCCCTGGCTATCCCCCTCAGTGGTGAAAAGATTTGGGCTGCAGCAGCGACACCTCGGTAAGATTGCCCAGCGAGGCCGCACAGCTCTGTGGGAGGAGACAGCATGGGTGACTGCCGCGGAGACCGCTGCTTCGCCTTCCCCTCCGTCCCTCGACTGAGGCCCTCGACTGAGCCGCAGGGCCGGGCAAGCTAGGCTGGAGGGCAGCTTGGGGAGAAAAAGAAAGGCAACCCTGACCTCTCGTAGGCCAATATATACCAATTCAATGGGGGAGGAAAAGACTCCAGCCTAGAGGCTCCCTGTGTGTGTGTGTGTGTGTGTGTGTGTGTGTGTTTCCCAGAGGGTGACAGACGCCAGCCCTCCCTAGCGGCCCTGCGAACTGCCCAAGCGACAACTCCTGAAGCAATCAACCCCCTATTAAAATCAAATTTATAACCCCTAATAATATTAAGGAAAATTACTAAAATAATTGGCATATGTTACTGATCCTTGGGAGATTTCATTGAACACATTATTAACAGGAAAATCCTTTAGGGTGTTCCAACACCCCCCACCCTTGGGGAGGGGGTGAAGGAATCAGATTAAAAATTCGTCATAACTTGTGCAAGAATGAGATGGTCTATTCCAAATGTCTTAATCTCTCTCTCTCTCTCTCTCTCTCTCTCTCTCTCTCTCTCTCTCTCTGTGTGTGTGTGTGTGTGTGTGTGTGTGTGTAAATTTTTGGTTATGAGACAGCTCTCAGATCTAAGAAGGATGGAATGATGGTGGGGTGGTGGTGGGGTTTAGTATCATCAGCTCAAGGCCTTAGGGCTTTTCTTCTCATTTGGGGGAAGAAGAAAAACAGCAAGAAGAGGACGATTTCACAGCCTTGGCTTGATCTCAAGCTTTCCAGATCTGAATGTTGGAGGGCTACCGAAGGACCCCTTTGGTCTCCGCGTGCTATCCTAGTTATCTGCAGGATATAAAAATGGGAAGGGGGATGGCGTGAGGACTAAGATCACAGCCTGGGAGCCGTCCCCTAGATCACCCCAGGATGCGAGAAGCGGATGGGAGCAGCTTTTCCGCAAATTGGCTCCCAGTTCTCCGGGCCCCTGTGTCCCACCGCTTTGTCCAAACAAGTCACCGACCCGACGGCGTGGCACAACCTTCGTCTTTCTCTTCGGCCCTTCGAATCCCGGAGACATGATGGGGAGAAGGGGACATGGCAAAAGTGTAAGAGTAGCAGAGATGTCATAATTGCTCAATTTAGAACGTGCGCGGGGGCTGGCGGCCCAAGGTCCCGGGCTCTTGAGCCGCAATGAGGAGCCTGGATTGGGGGAGGGGGGGGGGTCAGGCATCTCCCTTCCCCCAGTCCCTAATCTCACCGTCTAAACAGACCTGAATTCGAAGCTGCCTTTGCGTTGACTCCAGAACCACAAAACTGAAGCCCGTCTTCGCCTCCCTTAGGGAACCAGAGCTGCTCTGTTGTTCGTTGCCCGCCGGGACACCCGACTGCCGCAGCCTAAGGACGCTTTCTGCTTGTCACCGCCGTCAACTTGAACTTCAGAGCGCCCAAGATCGCTTGCTACCTTCGTGCTCCGCTCCATCCACCACCGAATAACTGCCCTTAACATGAGAGTCGCTTTATCCGGAGGCAGCTGGAGCCCCCTCGGGAGACCCGTCATTATTATTATTAATTATCGTGATCCCACTGCATTATTAATGACTACAACGATAACTGGCGTCGCTATCAGCATCTCCCGGTTCACTGATGTCCCCTTAAGTCCCAGGCGGGGAGGAGGTCACTCCTGGAGCAGAGACCGGGTGGGTTCTGCCCCGGGAGCGAGCAAGGGAAGGCTGCTGGGGCTGAGGTCCGGCGAGTGAATGAAACAGGTCCCAGGTCCCGCACACCCCGTCGCACGCTGTCTCGGCCCCTTTCCTTTCTGCTGGCAGCTCTCTTCCTCCTACTCCCCACCCCTGCCCCCTTTGTCTCTTTTCAGACGGATGTTTTCAGTCTCAAGTGGTGTATTTTCCTCACAAAACTCAGAGATCAAGGGCAGATCACAGGCGGGACTGGAGGTTCGGGTTTCCCTGTGCTCCTCGTTCTCCCGCGTCATGGAGTGGCTAGGAAGGCCTGGGCTTGCCAAGCGACCTTTCGCCCGCCCAGGGCGGCAGGACTGGGGAGCTGTGTTACGGTGGGTCCCTGATGAGCGCACCAGTAGCATACCAGGACATGCGGAGACCCGAGAACCCTCTAGGGGCTCACGTCTTGCCCTCCCCACATCATGCCATCGAAATAATCCGAAGGGCTCGCTAGGCCTATGTCCAAGAGCTAAGAAATAAAGGCCTCAAAATAACCCCACCAAGACTTGCATGCGTTTTTGTTTTTTTTTTACTTAAATGGACACGTGCCCCGGAAAGCGACCCTCGGGATCCAAAGTAGATATTTATTTATTTCAATAAATCCTGGTGAATTGATTGATTATAGTTTGATAACGTGGCTCTGGTTCCACAGAAACTTGGAGCTCCTCCGCCCACCGCTACCCCCAGCAGACCTCAATGAAAGGTTTCTATTTTTAACTTGCAGCTCAGAACGTGGCTGGAGACATGTTGCCCGCTTCCCTCTCTAACTCCCCTCCCCACTCCCTACCCCCATCAGATTATTGCCCAGTTTTTATTTTAGTGAAGAATCTAGATCCTTCCAGGCTGGATAGAGTGATCCGGCATAAATCCTCAGGCGGGTCCTGCTGAGCGCCTGAGAACGAAAAGGCAGCCATAGCAGTTTGAACAAGGTGTTACGAATGACAACTTCTGTAAACCATAAGCAGGGCAGCCCGAGGGTTTGAGTTCATGGTCAAGGCTGTGGGGCGACAGGGGCCGCAGTGTCCATGCCCCGCCTCTGCGCCACCGCGGCCCAGATCTTGGGCGGGGTACACCCGGCAAGGGTCTTCCCGCTGCCGCCCCGCCCCCACAGGGCCCAGTCCGGGAACTGTCCGTGCTGGGGCCACCTTGTCGCCCTCCCACGTTCCCCTTTTGTTCCCAGGGGCGGATGAGCTTTTGAAGAGGTGACACCTCGCTTGGTCTCCAGCCCTGCGTCCTGCCCTTGTCCCGCAACCAGCATCCCGCCTGCCGGGCCATTAGGGATAAAGTTCAGCCAACTAGCAGGCCAGAGCTGAGGGCGCCCCTTGACTTGCGTGCGTGCACATAGGCAGGCAGTCAGTCTCTCTTTCTCTCTCTCTCTTCTCGCCATGCCCCCACATACACATACACACATGCTTACATGCTTACCTCTTTCGTTCGGTGGCCTTCATCCACAGGCTCGCGTGGGTGGGATGGTCCTGAGTCACAGAGATTGGGGGTGGGTGGCGGGAGGACCCATGGAGAGATGCTCCCCAACCCCTCCACTCTTTCCCAGCTCTCCCATCTTCCTCCCACCTCTTTCCGAGATGGCCAGGTGCCCAGCGCTGTGGAACCAACTTGGTTTTTGAGAGTCCACAGCCTAGGCCACACTTCCCAGGCCCACGCCTCGAGCCACCAGTGTGAGATTAAGTTGAGTGGGGCCTCAGCAGTTGGGGTCCCTCAAGCCCTCTTCCCAGGGAATGTGATGGGCCAGGCTGTCCGGCTTGCCCTGGGGCTCTCTGACCCTGGGTGTACTTTGAGGGGTGCCCCCTGACCTCTTAGTTAAATCAGGAGGGAGTGAACAAGGAGCTGACTACTACCCCCACCTCCACCCCAAACACACACCTCCCCAACCCGTGCTCAGCCTCTTCCTTTCCTAACCTCCTGAGGCCAGTTTTTTTTTTTTTCTGTCCCTGAGGCCAAGGCGGTGATCGCAGGGAGCAGAACGAAGCGCTGCGCCACTAGAGAAGGTGGGGGGTGGGGGTGGGGTAGAAATAATAGTAATGTTAATAATGTCAAAGATAATCATCATAGTTAACTCTCTGTGCTTGGGTTGCTCCTTAGAGGCGGGCGGAGGCCTGGGGAGGCTCCTGACAGCACCGAGGTGGGGGTAGGCGTGGAGTTCTCTTAGGGCAGGGGGTGGGGGTAGGGGATAGGGTGGGCGGTGGGGGGGCTGGAGAAGCCTTTTATGTTGCTTCCCCCAAACAACATTTCGGATCTGGAACCTGGCAGAGCCAGCGAGGGCCTGGCCAGGAGCCGCGCTGGGCCTCTTGCTGCAGACGCGGCTTGTTCTTTTGCTTTTCTTTCTCCTGGCCCACTGGGCCCACAGTGGTTGGTGTGGCTGAGTGTGGTTTCTCGAAACTCTTGGAGTCGTTTGGGTCTATTTGCCCGCTCCCCCCCCCCTCCGTTCCCTCTTTCCCTCTCCCCGCTGGCAGATGAATGGTGGCTTTAATGAGCATGGGCGCGGCGTTGGCCAGGCGGTTCTGAAGATGCTCTGACCTGTAGGGAGGGCGCGAAAGGTCAGGCTCACGCAGGGCCCGGCTTGGGCTCCTCCCAGGCCCACGCTGCTCAGATATTGATCCTGCGAGAAAGATAAACAGAAAAGCTGGACATTCGGTCATGAATACTAATGAGCCAGGGTAGGAGTTTTAATTGCTATGGACTTCCTTTTTCCAGTTAATCTTTGTTGCAGACTTCGCTGGGGTCAGTCTTTTCGAGCTTGGTTTTGTCTCCTTCTCTCCCCGCCCTCCTCCTTATAGTTTCATTTGAAAATGCCCAGGCGAAAAGAGACCCGTGTCAACTTGACTTTCTCCCTCTCGCAGTGCCGGTGTGAACGCGAGAGCCCACAGCCCGCGTTCCCAGCGTGGCGCTTCTTCTGCTCACTAATTCTGGAAATGTAGGGGATCCTATAAAATAAATTGTTTCAATGTGGCTTTGGGGAGTCTGCTTCTTGACTTCCTCACCCTTATTGTTTCAAAGACTTCATGTGTCCTTGGCCTTTAAACTTCCTCTCGACAATTGCATCTTTTCCCCAGGCACCGAACTCCTCTCTACTCCAAACGGGTGCATTCCATCCCCAAACATTCCCTTTTCCCAAGTCTCCAGGATTTGGCAGTGGCTTTGCCAACCGCGGGGTCTAAGTGTTTCAATCTAGCAGTGAATTCTAGGCAAGCTAATTCACCAGTTTACAGAAATGTAGTGTTTTCTTTGGTACCTATAAACAACAGTGGAATCTGAGACAGGAACCTAAGAGAATTTCTAGAAAGATTTCTACTCCCAGTCTTGCTATGCAGTTGGTAACTTAGTTATACTATTTTTATTAAAATAAAGCCATTCTTGAATTAAGTTTTCTCTTGAAGCTGTATAAATGGACTGTAAATCCTATAATGCAGTTTTCAGCTGTGTGGATCAGGAGAAAAAAAAGCAAGCCTATTTCTGCAACAGGCTATATAGAAATGTGTTGAAACCCAAGGCAAAAAAAAAAAATCAGCTGTACCAGAAATAATTTCCAGTATTATTCTGATCCTTAAAGTTTTGGACAAAATAAGCCTATATTTTACATCATTGCCAATAGGTCCCAGCATTGAAGTCTCCCGAGGATTCTGTTTCACTTACACTTTTCAGCCCCAACTTTTTTTTCTTCACACAATGATTTATTATGTAGGTAATTTTAGGGGATACAGTTTACAGCTTGAATTATTAGACTGAACACCTCTGGCTGACACCACGACGCCTTTTTTTTTCTGCCTGCAGCTGTGAGTCACAACCCCATTTTCATACCCAACCGCTGCACATTCCTTCACAATGTATATTTCCTTCTTGCAAAGATCAAACATGCTTTGGTCAAAGTGTTTATTTTAAAATACAGGAAAATTAAAACTAAACACAGCTCTACTGAAAAATCCCCAAATGTATCATATTTTCCTCCTCCTGTGCCCACAAAAAAAGTAACAAATTGCACTACTTTCTAGAATAAAATTTCAAATCGAAGGGGAACACACAGGCACATACAGACACAATTTTCATTTTATTATTGAAACACATCGGGAAGCCCTCCACTTCTCTCCATATTTGAATTACTGTGTGGATGTCTTTAGTTTTTAACCATAAAAATACCACAGGCAAAGCAACAACATATCTTTAAGAAGATGCTGACAGGCATCTACTTTAGTCACCAATCTACACACTCCATGTTTCTAGCTCATTTTTTCATCTTAGTATTTTCCTTTTAATTGTATCTTCCAGAATACAACTTCAAGGGGAGAAGACTATTTTGCCAAAAGGAAGGGGGAAAAAGGAACTCAGAAACAGTTAACATTTCCCAAGCATCTCAGTAGGTCTTTGGTGTGTACATGTGTTTACTTTGTTTCTTCAAATTAAGGTGAAAAACAACAAGGTAGAATCGTTCTTTCTCAGCACCTCAGTCGTGTAAAGTGATTTTAGCTGTAGATTTTGCTGGACAAGCTGTTCTTCTGCAGCCGACTATCTACTGCTCTTTTTGAGCTCCTCTCGACTCTCATGTGAAAAGGATATAGACCTCAGTCGCTCTCCTCTGAGGCAGTTTACTCAGCTTCTCAAGCCATACAGTCCTTTAACAAGGGCAGGAACTGTTAGGCTGTTTTTAATCAAGTTTGGAAGCTGAATCTTTTCCCACTGACGACTGTGCCCGGGGTGGATCCGGCTAAATGTCTGGCGCTGCGGGCAGCGGGCTCAGCAACCTGTTTTTCAGACACAACACCAGAGAATGGCATTAAAAGAATCGCCTGTTGCAGAAATGTTTTAAAATATTACACGCCCTCCCCACCCCACTTATTTCTCCTACTTCTGAGCTAAAAGGTAAAAGAAGCTGAAAGAAAATTTCAAATGATATTAATTTACCTACTTAAGGCAGACCAACAAACTGGAAAGAGACTTGATGCTTTGAAAATGTACTGTACAGAATCTTTCAAATTAGATGCTGCTTAGGATCGATTTCAGTAAATACTTTTTTTTCTATGATTCGATTGGGTAAAACTTTTCTAGATATTAGTGAAATGAATTAACAGGCCAGAAGTCTCCTTATATAGAAAATAATCTATATGTCATCCTCTTCTTTCTGTTTTTTTAAGGAGAGGTAAATTATAGTACATACTCTTTGGATTTTTTTTTTTACTTTAGAGAAATAAAAAAATATTTAGCCTTCATATATCATTGAACATTCTTTGTAAGAATGAAGAATCAGGGATTTTCAAGATGAAGAACAAAACAAGGAATCGGATTAGTATCTTCCTCTAAAATATATTTTTTCTTTTGTTGGGTTTTCAAATGATCTTTCGGGTCATATTTTTATTTATTTGAACAATCTCTTCAAATTAAAATGCATTAAATATTTCCCCCTAGATAGCTAACTTCTGACAATCAAACATTTCTAAAAGTTCTAAATGAAAATCAAAGGCCTTTTATAAAGCCTTAGTAACACCATTTCATGTAAGGGCCAAACCAATTTATCTGAACTTCCTTTCATTTTTGGTAGACTACCTGATACATAAAAAACAACAACAAAAAAACCCCTCACCTTGAAAATGTCAAACCTTCTGTCAATCTTATGAGAAAACTAATTTCATGATATGTAATTGGGGTTTATGATTTCATTTATATTTTTTAAATCCAAGGATATTAATTAAAAAATTGATTTGGACTAGAGAAGAGACATTAGCAGGTAAGCATCTTAAAATATAAATCAAACACATCTCAACTACCTCCCAGTACACACCCTTCTTGAAAAAAGAAAATGTCTAAACTGAAATCAGCCATCTGACTTCAAATGCCTTCTAGAAAAGTCTAATATAGATATTTTACAATATCATTTAAAGTTTCAGGGTGACATCTTTCTAAATCTTCATGTGATAATTTACTAATTCGGAATGTAAAAAACAATTGGCTTTATTGGGCAAAATATTGCTTCATCTATTTGTTAACAGGTATTTTGCATAGGGTGCTATTGTAATTTATGTAAGTTTTCCTTTTGGACATTTTTTTTCTTTCGGACACTTGTAGGCAGTCTACTATTCTCTTGTGCCCCCAACATTTTCGTACTTGAAAGTTGAATGTTGGGCACTCTTAAGGTTGAAAACCAAACTGATTGCCTTTCGTGGAAGCAAAAGATGTCTCTTTCCGACAGATGCTACTTTGAGGGTCTTTTCTGCTAAGCGTTTCTCAGAGGTAAATTAGCTTCATCATTTGCCACTCTTTTTCTAAGGTTTGTGGTCTAAGCGCCAGCCCACCCTAAAACATACCATAGGTTCTGTCTCATAGTGGCAAGGCAGCATATTTCTTTACTTCAGGTTTCATTTTTGTGTTTAAAACACAATAAAGCAAGTTTTAACATCATTTTTAAAAGAGCACTTTCAAGAAGCACTTCCTTTCTTAACTGCCAGACAGCGCTGCTCCCCAACCTTTTGGCTGGAACCCTTGCTTTCGATTTGTTTGTTTCACGCATTTCCCTGAAGAACCGGTCTCTTTGCGGTTTAATTCTGCTTTAAAAATGCATCGCTTCTGCCCTGAATCCTCTCTGAAGCAAATTGTTATCAAAAGTGTATCAGATTCGTTCCAAATGTGGCATTTGAATTAATATTCCCTTGCTAGAAATATTTTTAAAATTGTTTTTGTCATAAGTGTCCACACTTCTGCAATATATTTTCAATTGAAGTACGGTTGCCTGTAGCTCTCATGATAAACAAAACGTAGCGATTACTGTCTGCTTACACCTTCCTTCATTATTATTTTTAGCCGGTGTATCATTACCTAACTGGTATGGGTTCTTCTGTCCAGCTCTTGATGATCTAGTTGAATTCTAGACATTGTGCCAAAAAATGTATTTGAAGCAGATAAGTACTTATAATACAAGTGCGTTTTGTTAGACCTGATGGATGCTATTTTTCTTTTAATAGGTTTGTAGCAAACTAACAC